CTGTTAAGACATAAAGATAGCTATGAAACAAGTAATTTTGACCATTAATTACTAGCATCAACAATGTAAAACACAATTGCAACACAAGCTATAAAACCCAAATATAAATATATTAAAGAATTTGAGAACTATGCACATAGGTTCATAAACACTTTTACCCAAGAATCTCTAAGATAACTTAACCACTCATGGCTACAATAGAATTCATTGCAATAATGTAAGAGAGTTTACAAGCAACAAATAAAGTAAAAGAATAGACCAAGAGATTCTCCCAAATCTTCCTAGCTTTTCTTCTTTTTTTTTCCCAAGGTAACTTGTAGCTCCTGATCTCTTCTTTTCTTGTCTCCAAAACGTAACTTGATCCCCTAGGGTTGAGGGAAGATGAGCCCTTTATAGCGGGAACTCATTAGGAATAGATTAGGAAATTTTCGCACAACATTCCAATTTCCCGCCCATATTTCTCGACGCGTCGAGTCTTGCTCGCCAAACAACTTGCCGGTACTGGAACTTCTCGACGCGTTGAGTAGTCAGCATCGATTCTCCGAGAAGTACTGAAATTTCTTGACGCGTCGAGTCTTCTGTGACTTCGACGGCTCGGCTACTGGAATTTTTGGACGCGTCGAGTTTGATTCTCGACGCGTCGAATCCCCTATTTCAGCACTCCAACTTTGTTTTGACTCCAAGCATGCCTTAGGACTTCCCCTTGCTTTTGCAATTGACCTACAATGGTTCCAAAATACTAACAAATACCGTAAAACATTCAAAATAAACATTAAACCATTTCTTAATGAGAAAGCAAGGGAATAAGCATTGAGAGTAACGATTTCACGAACTTAAACCCAACAAATAGATTCAAACTGACAAGAGAAACATGTACAATTAAGCTCACATCAAGGGCACCACATGATGGTTTGCCCAACTCTTCATTCATAACTAATTTGAACGTGTTTACCAAACAAATAGCTACGAGCGAACACTTCAAACTATTTGGCTAATCCTTAGCGTTGTAGATGTGTCGAAGATTCTTGAAGAGATGATGCAAGATTTCTCAATCTTACAAGTTGAAGCTCCCCCTCAACTGCAACTCTCCCGAGTTCTCAAATGTGGTTTACGGCCAAAATCATCAAGCATCAGAACCAACTTGATTTGAATTGAATATTCATCAAGTTGCTCCATTTAAGCTCAGTTGAAATGCCCTTGGAAGTATTCTGTATATGATGAGTAAATTCTTGGATTCATCAATCAAACACGCTTGTAGGAGATGGGCATTTATAGCAATCTTTATGGATTTTGCTCTAACTGCACAACTACTTTGGACTTCATGTTGAACTAGCCTTAGCGTCTGGTTCACCCTTGGTCTTCAATTTTCAATCTTCATCTTCAGATAACCCCTGAACCAAGTCTTCTATCTAGTACAGACTCAATCTATTACACAGTACACTTATTTCACTGAACTAAATCATGAACGACTGAACTACTCCATAAAACAAAAACAACTTGGATGGGTGAAAAATATTTTCTTCGTAAATACTTTTTCTCAAGGATCAATCTTTTATTAACAATCTCCCCCTTTGTTTTTGAGTTTATGGCAATGCAGTTGTTCAGAAAAAGTTTAATCCTAAAGGACAAAGTGCTCTTAACGAAAAGATATTGACTTTTGATTGATATCGTTTAGTGCCAAAATAACAACCAAAGTTCATAGTTCACAATAGAAACTAATATATCAACTTAGCCTAATGTTGAATTTTGGAAAACTAAAGATAGCGCGAAGTGAAGTGCAAAAAAAAAAAAAAAAAAACATGTTGTCATGGGTTTTACATCACCATGAACTAGGAGGGCCAAAAAAATAGTAACCATGAACTAGTAATGCTAGTTTAGCCCAAGTAACATTATGGCCTTGTTTGGCAAACGCGATTAGCGGATTGTGTTAGAGGGTTTGACTAGCGGATTGTATTAACGGTTTGTAAAAAGGTGTTTGATAAAATTAGTTGTTTAGATTAGCGATTAACATGTAAAATGACCTAAAGGATATACATATATTTAATAATAATAATAATAATAATAATAATAATAATAATAATAATAATAATAATAATAATAATAATAATACTCCCCTTTTGTAATTTTGCTTCCCCACTTATCCCACATTGGTAGGATAAGTAGGGGATGGAGCCTTGAGGCTCCTATAGGCTCCATTTTTTCGAATAGCTATACCCATCCGCTTGCCCAACGGATAGGCAGGCTCCTTAGTTAAATCAAGGATCATTTTAAGCTCCTACAAGATAGTTTTTTTTGAGTAAATACCCAAAATGGTCCCTCGACTATAGCTAAATTCACAAATTGGTCCTTGACTTTCAATTTTAACCAATTAAGTCCTTAACTTTTCAATTTTAACACGATTTGGTCCTTCGTCTATTTGAACGTTTGTTAACTGTGATTTTTGAGGATATATATGTAATTTCATGGTCCATCGTCGATTTTTTAAGGTTCCGGTTGCATTTTCAGACTGCACTGTTACATTTGAATCCACCGCCGAAAGCAATCTGCCAAATCTTGTCGCCTTTCTTCATCCTCCCTTTGGATTCAATGTAGTTGAGTTCGTACCAGAGTGAAGAAGACAACGTGTTTCTGAACCGGTGCAGCGTCATCCTGGAGGCCTCCATGTGCTCCGATGAGAGCTGCAGGTTCTTTTGGAGATCGTCGATGATGGCGCGGGCGCGAGCGTTAATGCAGAAGTGTTCAAAGGACCAAATCGTGTTAATATTGCAAAGTTAAGGACTTAATTGGTTAAAATTGAAAGTCAATGACCAATTTGTGAATTTAGCTATAGTTGAGGGACTATTTTGGGTATTTACTCTATTTTTTTTTAAACTATGTTAACGGCGTTTTGGGAAACAAATTTCTTTCTCCAAAACGCCATTTACAAACGTTGTTATATGTAGCGTTTGCGAACTTGGTGGTTTAGAGCAATCCGCTACTCCAAACTGTCATTTAACCAAACAACTTTTTTGACGTTTTGACCAGGTCAAAACGCTCAGATCCGTCATAATGTCCAAATTAAAAATAAAAAGTAACGCAATTAAAATGGGACGAATAGAGTAAGAGAGTTCATACTTAAGTGGAGGATAGAGGGAGAGAGAAACAAGAGAGAGAGAGAGAAAAGAGAGAAGAAGGAGAAGGAGAGTCTTTGCTAAAGGACTCAGATTTTTGTCAAACTGTGTGGGTCCTACCAAGAAAGCGTATATAATTTTTTTAGATTTAATTTTATTTTTTTTGTTCCTTTTTCATTTCCTTTAATTTTCTCTTTTCTAATTACACTTTCAAAAACTCTTCAAAAATTACAACTATTGATGATACTCTAATAATATTTATAAAAGAGTTAATTACCGAAATGGTCCCTTGACTATAGCGAAATTACCAATTTGGTATTTGACTATTTTTTTTACCAATTAAGTCCCTCAACTTTAAAAATCTTAACCAATTTGGTCCTCCGTTTGTTTGACCGTTAGTCAACAGTTAATTTGGGATCAAATTGGTAATTCGCTATAGTCAAGGGACCATTTTGGTAATTAACTGTAAGGGTGGGCAATTTGGTTAAATTTTCTCGAACCGAACCATACCAAATTAGTTAGATTTGGTAATATACCGAACAACCGAATGGTAATAGATTCTTGTATACTGAACGGTTCGGTAAAAACTCGAACCGAACTGAATTGTTCGGTAAAAACCGAACCGAACCGAATATCGTTTGAAATTTGGATTGCTATTTGGTTATATATTAGACTTTGGATATGGACTACGTAAACACCATAACACATAATATAGAACTTTTGATAACAAACCATAAGGAAATCAAATAAAACATTTACGAGAGATACCCATGAAAATATGAGCTGAACGGCAAAACAAGCAGCAAGGGACTTGGATTTACTTTTTATTTATTTATTTATTTATTTATTTATTTATTTATTTATTATTATTATTATTATTATTATTATTATTATTATTATTATTATTATTATTATTATTATTATATTAGAAAAAAATCAAACGGTATTCGGTTCAGTTCAATTTTTTACCGAACAATTCGGATCGATTCGGATCGGTTTTTTATCGAACCGTTCGGTATATAAGAATCCAATACCGTTCGGTTGTTCGGTATATTACCGAACCAAACTAGTTCGGTACGGTTCTGGTAGGGAATATCCCGACCGACATAATTTTACCCCGGCTGGTATGCCTTTGTCTTTTTCTTCTTGTCTTTGCAGGTAACAGGTCGGGCTTCTTGTGAAGAACCCGGTCGGGGTCTGACCGGGAGTTGCCCGAGCGGTAGTGTCGACCACCGAGCGATAGCCCTTTGGCTAGAGAGCTGACAAAGGACACGTGGCGGTTCCTTGCGACGACAGACAGGGCACCCGGGAGGATGACACGTGGTGGCTACGTGGAGAGCATGCCGAACGACCGGATTTGTGTCTCCGGCGCAGCGGCTATAAATACCCACAGTAGCTACACTGTGGGGGACTTTTGGACGATCGATAGGTTGTTGTTAGAGAATCCCGATCGCAGTCAGTCGGTACTCAAAGCAACCAAGTAGATTGTACTTAGGGCCTTCACCGTGATCAATAAAGATATTTACCTGCTTTATTTGGTCTCGTATTTGTTTAATTATTGCTTACGTAGTACTTAGCAGTATCAGGTTCGATTCGAGAAAACTAAACCGAATTGCCCACCCCTAAAGTTAATTACCAAAATGGTCCCTTGACTATAGCGAAATTACCAATTTAGTCCTAAGTTAACGGTTGACTAACGATCAAACAGACGGAGGATTAAATTGGTTAGAATTTTTAAAATTGAGGGACTTAATTGGTTTAAAAAATAGTCAAGAACCAAATTGGTAATTTTGCCATAGTCAAGGGACCATTTTGGTAATTAACTCTTTATAAAACTAAACTACCTGTGGCTGTATTCCCACTATTCCGGTAGAAAATTGGCTGGTATAGAGCATACGTGTCCTTCTATGTGGATATGGAGTATGGACCCATGATCAAACAGTCCAACTGCTAACTGTCCTCGGACAAAATAGGCCACAACTATGTCAGCGTTGAGCTTCTGATATTTGTGTTTCTGTAAGGATTTTGTCTCTCCCATTCATACTTACTCATGGCTTTCGCTTCTCTTCAACTGGGATTGTATCCCAGATTTCCTGCTTCAAACCCACCCGCATTTCATCATTCCAAGAAATCCCAATCGGTTGTCTCCAACTCCTTCTGCACTGATTCCGCTAAGAGACCAACAGACCCACGCTCAAGAAGCATCTTTATGAACCCCACCAATCAAACACCTTTCTCTAGAAGAGTCCCCTTCTTGTCCAATGGAAGGTTAAAGCTAGAGGTGAATGCCTGGAAATCAAAATCTTGATTTTGATGTGTTTTTTTTTTGGGGGGGGTGGATGATTAAATGTTACTGCTAATAAATTATTGTTGTTTTGAATGGAAAAAATTGATCTTTCCATAGGGGCGAGCCGCAGGAGAAGGCGCCGAGTCTCTGGATTCTGATTCTGTATATCGAGAGGAATTCAACTGGTCTTCTGTTATTCTGCCGTAAGTCCATTGATTTTTCATTTTTGTCCAAATGCTGTTTGTTGTCTGCTAAGATATGAATCTTCCAATGGATTGTTCTTTTGAGATGCTCATTGTTGTATTAATAGGAGGATGCACTTGAAGTAATTAATATCAATTAATCCTTCAATTAATTATTGTTAGATAGTGAAGGGGTGAGATATGACTTAGTTTCTTAAATACCGGATTTCTTTTTCCAGCTTGAGGTGGTTTATTGTTGCTTCTCACTCCATTTAGTTGTATATATAATGGATACATGTGAAGTAATAAATCTCAATCCATTGATATTTATTATCCTTAGACTAGATAGTGACAAGGTCTGAGATATGACTTCGCTTCTTGAATATCAGATTTATCTTTCCAGCTTTAGGTGGTTTATTGTTTGGCTATGATATAGGTGCAACTTCTGGTGCTACCCTCTCCTTGCAGGTAACATTTGTGTTTATTAGGCAATTGTATGATCGTGGAATTCGAAATAGTTTGACATCTGTTTGTTCCTTTTGTTACATCATTTTTCAGTCACCCGAGTTTAGTGGCACAACTTGGTTCAACCTTTCTGCTGTCCAGCTTGGTCTTGTGGTATGCATTCGTATTGCACTCCTTCGAAATGGTTACCCATAGTTCTACTCTACCATGATCGGAGTCTAAATATCTGTTGTTTATTTTACTATCCCGTGGATTTAGGTTAGTGGGTCCCTGTATGGAGCATTGTTTGGCTCCCTCCTTGTTTACCCACTAGCAGATTTCCTTGGTACAACTCTACCCTGATTGGCTAATCATGTTTTTCCGAGTTTGAAACTCCTTCCTGTTAAGTTTTCCTGGTGAATCTATGTAGGCAGGAGAAGGGAACTTATCATAGCGGCCATTCTATATGCACTTGGTGGTGCATTAACTGCATCTGCTTCAGGCCTAACAGTTCTCTTGATAGGGAGGCTTATTTATGGGCTTGGTATTGGTTTGGTAAACTTTCCTCAATCACTTTATTTTCTACCCTAAAGATACGGCCTCCTTCTTGGTGTTCTTGTTTTCCTTTCTTTGTTAGCCGATTACCCATTTCCTGATCGATTCTCTTTTGGCAGGCGATGCATGGTGCACCTCTATATATTGCAGAGACTTGTCCAACTCAAATTCGGGGAACCTTGATATCTTTAAAGGAGCTAGCAATAGTTCTTGGAATTTTGGTACACACATATTGAGAAGATTGATGTGATTTTGGTTTTGTTAGGAGACCAATCTCAGTGTATAAATTATTGTTTGCGTGCAGATGGGTTATTTTGTGGGTAGCTATGAGATTAATTCTGTTGGAGGGTGGCGTGTGATGTTTGGGTTTAGTGCTCCAATTGCTGTACTTATGGGGTTAGGCATGTTGAGTTTACCGCCTTCTCCAAGATGGTTACTTCTGAGGGCAGTTCAAGGTAAAGGGCCTTTACAGGAATACAAAGAAAAGGCTATAAGTGCTTTGAGCAAGCTAAGAGGCCGACCTGCTGGAGATAAGGTGTCCGAGAAACAAATAGAAGATACGCTTGTCTCACTGAAGACAGCCTATACGGATGAGGAAACTGAAGGGAGTTTCTTGGAGGTGTTTCAAGGCCCGAGTTTGAAAGCATTCATAATTGGTGGTGGATTGGTCCTTTTTCAGCAGGTAGGTATTATTGTGGCATGGAGAGCTGTTGTTTTCACTATGCAATCTTGCAGAAGGCGATAGTTGGGCACCCGGGGGGGCGCCTGGGCGGCTGCCTAATTGGGGGAAAAAAAATCCACTCAAAACGACGTCGTTTTGAGCGGAAAAACCAATTTAAAAAAAAAAAAGTTCTGGCCAACTAGCAACCCCCTACACACCCCTTTTGGCCTCGGCCTAGGGGCGCCTAGCGCCTGGCGGCCACGTAGGTCGATTTTTACAACACTGTCGCTCTGAACTCCTCTTTAATGAAATATGTTGAATTTGGAAGATGGAATGGCCTGGCGGGTGGAGAATAACACCACCCGCCAGTTAGGCGGAAGCAATGATGAAGATCAAAGAATATAAAATGTATATAAGACTGAAATATATTAGTATTATCTGTGTTTCTAACAAAGAAACATAGTACATATATATATATTCAAACACATAACTGTAAGTAACTACCCATAACTAATACCTATTCATAAACAAACACAACCCTATAGATAAACCTAACTCTTTATTTTTCAACAAAATAGACCATGGCTTTTAGCAAGCAGTCTATAGTAATTTATGTCTAACCTTACTATGTGGTTTTTGTAGATAACAGGGCAGCCAAGTGTTCTATACTATGCTGGTCCAATTCTTCAGGTAATTTTTGAAACCGATAATTTAACAGTGGTGGGTGTGATGTTCTTCTTAACATTCATGCCTTTTTCTTTTCCTCCTTTTACATAATTTATGTCTAGAGTGCTGGGTTTTCTGCTGCTTCTGATGCTACACGGGTGTCAGTCATTATCGGCATTTTCAAGGTACATCGCTCTGGAAGAGACATTGTTATGTTAAAATAGCACAAATTAACCATGTTTTCTATCCAAATTATTGATGTTATACTCCTGAGCCCTTGTTTATTCCACATTGGGAAGAATACATTAATGTGTTAAAATAGCTTTTTAATCTGTGAATAATTTACTTATTAAATTAAAATTATTGTCTTATTTAAGATCAATGTTGAAAAAATCGCTAGGCGCCCTCTAGGCGCCTGGGGAACGCCTAGGCGGGCGCCTAGGCCGCCTAGGAAGCCGGGCGCCTAGCGCCTAAGCGCGATTTTTGCTAGTGTTTAAGATAATGAAAGTCCATAAATTCGTTATGCTGTGGCTTCTCTCTCTTTCGGGTTTCCTTGTAAATCTAGCTCAGAAATTTATGTTCTTGTTCCACGCTAATTTCCCTTTATCTCAACTTTTCTGTAACAGAAACAAGTATACACACTATTGCTTCATTTCTTGCATAATGTACACAGACTATTGTTTCATTCATGCTAACTTATGCTCCTTCAGTCACTAATGACAGGGATAGCTGTCCTAAAGGTCGATGATCTCGGGAGAAGACCTCTACTAATTGGAGGTGTCAGTGGCATTGTATGTCTCTCTAATAACGATTTTATTCAAGTCTTGACTTGTTTTCTGGGATGTAACCTATCCCAACTAGTTTATGATTAAGGCTTTTAGTTGAGTTGAGACTTGAGCTATTATTTATTTATTTATTTTATTTTTTATGAACAGGCCGTATCACTTTTTCTTCTATCAGCTTATTACAAGTTTCTTGATGGATTTCCTTTAGTTGCGGTGGCTGCTTTGCTTCTCTACGTAGGATGCTACCAGGTAACATTCTGATCTATGGGTGCTTAAATGAAAATTTTCCATGAATTTAAGATTATTGTATCATCTACCAGGCAAAGAATACTGTTTTTGGTTTTTAACCTTTTTTTGTATCTCCAATAATCTTCTTCATTTGTTTATATACCTACCTGATCACGAGCTTTTGTTTTCTAATGTATTCCCGCAATTGATTCGACTAATTTGATGTTTTATTCTTCTTGTGCATCGAAGATATCCTTTGGACCTATCAGTTGGCTGATGGTATCAGAAATATTCCCACTGCGCACAAGAGGAAAAGGGATCAGTCTTGCAGTCCTCACCAACTTTGGCTCTAATGCTTTAGTAACCTTCGCGTTCTCACCTTTAAAGGTAATGGTTTTACACGGTTTTCCTTTGGTATTTTCACACCGCAATCTGCATTCTGCATGACAATGAAATTGGCGGGTTGGTTCAGGAATTACTGGGCGCAGAAAACCTTTTCCTGTTGTTTGGGGCGATTGCTCTGCTATCTGTCGTGTTCGTGGTAACCTCTGTCCCGGAGACCAAAGGGTTGAGCTTGGAAGAAATTGAATCCAAGTTTTTGAAGTGAAAAAACTTTTTGTTGAAGACTTTAGACTGTCCTTGTGTTGTGGATGAGATGAGGTTTTAAGTGTACAAATTTCCACTAATGTAATATATATTGTACAAATACCAATGTATCTATAACTTAACCCAATAATCCTACACCATAAAGTTGAGTATCTAACTCCCCATTATAGTAGTTGTGGTCCTCATATTATATGTTCATCACTTCATGTCAAACTTAAAATCTTGTGGTAACGGTCTGACCAATTTGGCTGGAGTTGCCCCCAAATCCCAATACAAACTAATTTTTTTTTTTTTTGAATGCTACGGACTCTATTACATTGTAGTATATGTTCAAACATACAAACTAATTTAATTTGCTGAATATTGAACAAGAAACAAAAAGAAACAGGCATGGAAGGAAGTTCCATTGCTGGATTTAAACAATGACTGAGGCAAATATATGGGTGGTAGAGTAGCAATTCATACTGCACAATCTTTGTTCTTACTGTGATTTTGTTAGATTAGCTTAGCCTGTTGAGTTTAGATTCCAAGGATTTCATAATGCCATTATGTCTTTCTGGTCTGTAATTGTACAACAAAGTCATGGAGGTCATCCCATCCCACATTGGTATAAAAGTGAAACTCATTTAACCAACTACATAGAGCATCTACAACAAGTCAACAAAGTCTGCCCAACCAATCTACAAACTTATGATGATCTAAACAATTGAATTCTATGTATAAATAATATAGAGTGAAAATGCAGTGACCCTGGAAATTTTAAAGGGCGCTAGTTAAAAATAATGATACAACAAATTATGTAGACTACTGCACTTACCCCAGCTTCTGGCAGCATGACCGATTACTCTTCCAAGAACTACTTATTAATGTATAGTCTCCATCAAAGACCTAATTCCTTTTTCAACTGAGCTAGGGCTGCTTCAATCTCATTGAGATTTTCTTCCATGTTGTTTCTTTTATCTGTTGCTTTATTCTGGGTGCCACTTCCCATTCCCTCTGCACCAGAATATGCATTGTTGTTTTCAGCCTTTTCCTCTTCGGCATCTGGATCAGTGATGTTCAGTTCCTTCTCTAAAAACTCAACAAATTCTTCACCGATTTCCTGTCAAGTAGAAGCCAGAACCGTTTGAACACAGAGATGAATATCATTCTGTAAATATTTTGTCTCTCACACCAAAGGGGACTCAAGCACAGGGGGAGAAAATAGAAGAAAAGAGAAAATTTGAGAAACGTAGCATTAAAAAGATTGCACTTTTTGGTTGCACAGAATACTACTTGTGAGAAAAACAGGAGTAGGATAATTCTCAGATAATGGTCACACTTATCGCTCGTCTTTTGTCGGTCTATACGGTGCAAAGATTCCATTCACTTACCGCTAATTCCTCCCACAAACTCTTGGGTTTCCCTTGCGAATCTGAAGTCGCCTCCCAATTTCGGAATTCTTCTTGAAGATCCTTAAAGAAGTCCTCTGCAACAAGATAAGTAAGCTTCAGCCTCACAATATGACTTGAACTTGCAAGATAGAGAGGTTCAAAAGTGCCCTAAAATATTAGTAGAAGGTTATGCTAGCAAAATCTGTGGTCCTTGTGATCTGCAGAATCTACCTAATGTAATTTGTACATCCCTGAAAAAGTTACCTGCAGGATGAAGGGGGGTTAAACATAAGTTTATGAAATTTTTAAATTATTTTTTATAAAAATAGCCTTATTCTTGAAAAAGGTTATATTGATATAATGCTAAAGGTTGAATGTCAAAGATTCTTAAACTAAGGACCATGAATTAGAACATAAATGGCTATAAAAATATATAATGCCTCAATATTTTATAGCAAAACACCAACTATTCAAAGTGCTCTAGGGCTAATATTTGTAAAACCGATGAACTGACATTTGACGAGGAAGAAGAAACATATACAAATCCAAATTATTAGAATGGCTATTTTACCAAATCCATAGAAATCTTCATCTTTAGCCGTTTTACTTTGGCTTCCCCAAGTTGAGTAATAAGAATCGTTCGATGTGCTGCTTCCAGAATCATACTTCTTTCTTGATTTGGAGTTCAGCAATGTGTTGTATGCATGCTTAATCCTCATAAATTTTTCCTGAGCATTGGGCTAAATGGCAAGGCATTAAGAATTAGAACAACAGAGAAATTTTCACCAGGAATAAGTTAAAGAAACAGAGAATTCAACCAATGCCAGCCATTGTTAAGGGAGTATCCAATAAACTCAATGAACACCAATCTATTTCAACTCACCCAGTCTCACATAACTCAGAAAAAAAAAAAAAAAAAAAAAAAAAAAAAAAAAAAAATCACTTATCAACTTGGTATATACAATCACTTCCAGAGAGACATATATAAGTTTTCAATCATTAAAGACAAGATTTAACCCACCAAAGTAGGTAGTTTATCAATCAAGCATATAAGTTTTCAATCATTCTTAAGGTTGCCATAGAACAAGAAGAGTGTTTGATTTGAACAAATCCAAACTTCAAAATTGACCAAAGTACCAAAATTACTGATTTACTGAATAACATGCCAGCTAATTCTTAATAATCAGAATCAATTCAAGTTAATCCCCCTCCCCTAACTTCACACCTCTTATAAAGAAACCATAGTAGTTTGTTTGCCAAGAAAGGGCACCTCTTTATTAACATCAGGATGATATTTAAGAGCGAGTTTTCTATAAGCTCTCTTGATTTCATTGGGAGTAGCGGCGGGAGACACCCCCAAGACCTCGTAAGGAGACTCTCCGCGGCTGGCCTTCAAAGGGGCAAATCTATACTGCCTTCTCCTCTTATTGTAGAAGACACTTGGGGTAGAATAAAGAGCCAGCGGTCTCTGCAACAGAGGGTTGAAAACGGGTCCATACCCGATTCTGAAAGCGGGTAAAGGAGACGACTTGTGTGGGGTGTGAAGTGGAAGAGTGAAAGGGTAGATCTGGGTTGGGCTCAGAGACAGAGCGGATACCAAATCCATGCATGTTCTTGATTTCGCGCGTCAGCGCGTGTGGCTCTTTATGCTTTCAGAAAAAAAAAAAAAAAAAAAGGTGTAAAATTTAGGGATGAAATTCAGTCCACGCATTGCAGACTCCGAAGCGACTCTCTAAAGTCGAATCATGAAATATGAATTGAAATTAATGTTCATTATTTGAATTTCTTTTTATACTAAATATTTATTTTTAAGTATTATCTATAAATAAACTTTTAATACATTAAAAATAAATTTTTAATATACTACAAACGTTTATCTATAATTTATGTTGCAATGTGAACCATATAATTATAGATAAGAACCCCTGAACAACATAAACTTATGCAATTAGACTCAAAATGACCTGTTTATTTAAAACTATGCTGACGTGGCAACTATTGATTTTAAACATAATTTTAAAAATAATTTTAAATAAAATAAATAATTAAATTTTTTATTTAAAAGAAAACTTAGAATTGCCGGAGACGAAGGCTCCTTCGTCTCCAATCTCCATGAACAGGAGACGAAGGTCCCTAGCCATAGAGACGAAGGTCTCTTGATCTCCATGACCAGTGATCTTCATCTAAAGCTTACTATAGAGTTCTTTATGTTTGGTTCACAGTTCACACTTAACTATTACTCATAAATATTTAATTTAAATTTTTTAAGGAAATTTAATTTAAATTTAATAAACACCTAATTCAATCAAAATATATATTCGCTTGCGGAGTAAACCAAAATTTAATAGGTTATCTCACCTCTAAGACTCTAAATGCACAATAAAAGAAGGAAAATAATTGAAAAATAGAACAATTCTCATTTAATATAGCAGGTTTAATAGGTTAAAATATGACTAAGTGATTAACCAATCAAATATATATTGTATATCAAACCTGATTTGTTTCAAAAAGAAAAATGTTGTATTTTGACTAAAAATTTCCCAACTAAGAGAATGAAAATGAAAAAAAGAAAGAAAAATAAAATAAAAGAGAGTATATGAATACTTAATTGTCCTTAATAATACCATATGCATGTCCATGTTGTCAAAACTCAAAAGTGTACCATATTTTGTAACATTAAGGGGGCGTTTGGTTCAGGTTATATTATATAACCAAGGGAATGTGACATTCCCGAGCTTACATTCCTATGTTTGGTTCATTTTCTCTGAGGGAATATAACATTCCCAGGGAATGTAACATTCCCTCCACATAGGATTTTGAAGGGAATGTGATTCCCTTCATTTTGTTAGGTAATGTAAGATAACCTTGCATATTTATGAATTTTGTCATTTTAATTCTAATTATTTAAAGATATATATTTTATGTTAGCTTATTATTATTATTAATATGATACCGTTATCTTATTTATTTAATTTAATGATTAAATCTATTAAAATATATGAAAATATGTTAAGGATATTAGATATATATATATATATATATATATATATATATATATATATATATATATATATAAAGATAACCCTAAACCAAACATGATAATATTACATACCTCAATTTTAACCAAACACGGGAATCTAACATTCCCAGTAATCTAACATTCCTAGCAATCTAACATTCCCTAAGGTAATCTTACATTCCCTAAGGTAATCTAACATTCCGTGAACCAAACGGCCCCTAAATGGTTAAATTGAAACCAGAGTACCAGACAAACATTAAGGATGTCATCACAGCTACAAAAAATGCTAATTTTCTTACAAGAGTAAAATAATGACATAATATTCACCCCTAATGTAACAATTTTAAATAAGAAACATCTATTACTAGAGTAAATAGGTTAATCTCACTTTGAGTTAATAAAGAATTCACATAATAATCAAATATTAAAAAAAAAAAAAATTCAATACAATAATAACACGCTATGTCGCTCTGTAATAAATATTATGGAATAATTTTTTTAAGGGAATGTAACAATATTCGTATTCATAATAGTGTTATGAATACATAATTAACAATCTATAAGTTGTCATGAAAAATAAGATTATCTTTACAGGTTTAACACTTCAACTGCAAAAAACGCAATACAATCCCTTTAAAGGAAGACAGAAATTAGAATCCTGTAAAGACCAACATCCTTGATTCCTCCTCAAACTTCATGACCAGTTCACACAGAGCAACAGTTCACCATATACATGGAAATTAATATATACACGAAAGAGACACACTGAGGGACAATGCATGAGGGCAGATGGAGGAGGGGCTGTTTTGAAGAAAGTGATGAACTTCACAAGTCATGAACCAAATTCGAAACCAGGCAAATTCAAGCAACCATTGATGTTATGCACAAATGCACAATAGGATTAATGCTAAACTGCTGAAGAGAATTGGAAAACAATGCCTGCAGGGCAGCTCAACTGGTCACAAAGGTGAAATTTTGTCACAAGAGACCAAGAATCGAGTCTCACCAGCGGCACTGTAGGAGCAACCTCTCAAATGAGGCGGGCTCCTTGTGCGTAGTGAGCAAAAGTCTAGCCTCTGGTGGGTGATTCCACCTTTTTGTCACAAGAATTGGAAAACAACTGTTTCTCCAGTAGGCAGTGTTGCAAAAATCGCGCCGGCCTCCTAGGCACCCTAGGCGCCCGCCTAGGCGGTCCCCAGGCGCCTAGCGATTTTTTCAACATTGCCAGTAGGTAATGCACAAAAAGAATGGAGGGTTTCTACCTAAGTATCTAGAACCACTTCTTTTGTACAGAATGTAACTGCCAATTACTACAGCAGACAAAAGTTGTAGATACTGAAAGAGTGAAAGCTAATCAGTATATACCCTGCTGTTCATTGCTTCATGAAGATCAGGAGGCACAACCATTTCACATCACTCCTATGATTTCTATGCTGTTTTATGATACCATCTGGACATCTATATCTTTCTCTATTACAGGAATAGCTTTTCCAGTTTTTTCCTCATCCTGACCCCATAATATCAGAGCATTTAGATAGGGTACTTTCCACAAAGTTATTGATAAAAGCTTTGGTGTCCCAACCAAGAAATGACGAGAAGAAATCAAAATGAAAAATAAAGTAAAATTAAATTCTCAATCTCATTGCATCTTTTGATCCCTGAAAGCAGCTGCATTAACAAGCATGGCAACTACTACAAGAATTAGGAATTTGGTAACCAACTACAAAGTGAAATCTATGGATCTTTACCCAATTCACATACAATAAAATGCATATATGCCAACAAAAAGAGAGCTCCATGCACAAGTTTTGTGATATTTGTGAGCAAAAGTGTCAAAATGGCAAGGCCAATTTTGAAAAAAATGTAAAAATAACATAATTGCCAGTACAAACTTCAGGCAGGCAAAATTTTTTAGGGGTTTGACACAACTCGATTTCACAAACATGATAAATGAGCATCTTGTCAATTGTCATGCATAAGCAGCAGGGAAAAGATAACAGTATAATAATGATAGAGAGGGATAGAGCTTCAGATACCCAATTGGGAAGAGGCACTGACAAATATTTGATTAGATCTATTATTGAATCTTCAGTTGTTGCTGAAAGGGAAGGTTTTAATAGTCATCAATAAACAAAACACACACCTTTTATCAATGAAACAACAGGTTGGAGGTTATACGAACAAAGTGCAACCAGTAGACAAGATTTATTGGAAGCTTCTGCTTCAGGTCAACGGGAAAGTATGCAGGAACTGATGTCTTTCTTCTGTTTAAATCAAATATGATCAGATGAATTTCTGGAATTCAGCTTATGATGTCTTCATGGATTATTTAAGCTCGACCAACATCTGAAAAGTCATCACTTCAAGTCAAGCACATTGGTTGAATTAGATTAACTACCCTGCTTCTAAACTTAAAAAGCTATGGTAAATATAAATTATAATATTATTAATGTCATCTGGAAACCTTCACTAATATCAGAAGGTAGAAACTAGTAAGTATAAATATCACAAGCAAAAAGCCGGTACCATGTTGAAGACATCATCTTAAACATATGAAGCTTCTTGAGTGATGTGGTCAAATCCACACTATCAGTTTGTCTGTCTGTTTTATGAAATATGAGACACCATTCATCTACATTAGTTGTTATATGATCAGGAGATGTACAAATTTGCACTACCACCTAAAATGAGCATTTTAAATTTAGTCCAAATAATCTTAACATCAGTTTTGTTTCATACGATTGAACTTGTTTAAGGAGTTCAAACTACATTGTCCTCTAGTGGCTAGTGCACTTGGAATATGCTTGCAGGATAATGCAGATTTAAGTGGTGTTTGGTTGGGGACTTTTGCAGCCTACTATGGGTTTTGATACTCATTATCATGTTTGTTTGCCTACTTTTGTTATCCTACTATTGGAATCAAATCATTTAGGGTGTGTTTGGTTCGCACATGGGAATCGGAATTGGAATGAGAATCAAATACTTGGTAATGGTATGGGTTTTTGTGAAAGTATTTTGCATGTTTAGTAGTAGAGTGGAATCGGAATGATTACCAATATTGATGTTTGGTTATGTATGAACCTATAATGGGAATAAAAGGTTTTAAAAATACAAAAACAAAAAACCAATGCAATTGATCCTAATATAATGACATCCAAAGCACCAATATAAATTATGAACAAAAAATATCAAAACAAAAATCTAAAAGCACTCATCCAAACTTAAAAATCATATTACCAATAAGATAGAATGATACCTTTTTTAATTAGGAATGTGGTTTTTAATTGAAGGGTTAATCAAATCCATAGTTGTGTTTTAAAAAGTTGTCAAGCAAACACTAACTATGATTTTGATTCCCATTCCTAGTGTGTAAACCCATGAACCAAACACACCCTAAGTAATTACAAAATCCATTACCCTCTACTTTTGAACAATGGAATAAAAAATATAAGGGAAAAAATGAAGAAAAAAAAAATAAAAAAGGTAATTGTTCATGCATTAAATACAAAATTTTAATACATATATACATATATGTATGTCTATATATATGTATTATATATTTATTTATTTTTATTTTAATTAATTAATTATTTATTTATTTATTTTGATTCCAATTCCTATTTACTACCAAACAAAGTGACTCCCGTTACCATTCCCAAATGCAAAGTATTTGATTCTCATTACCATTCCGATTCCAATGTTTGAACCAAACACACCCTTAATGTCTAAAGATCCCTCAAACACCATTCCCCAGTTGATTTTATGGACACAACCATAGTCACATTTGGCATTTTTCTTAAATCAGGACGACAATCAGAGCACCTGAAAATTGCAAGCTTGGAGGACTCTTCTAACTATGGAAACTCCAAAAAGCCATCCAATGACAATATTTAGTAACTTCATCTGCAGAATGAGCCTTATACAGACTATAACTCCTTTAACATAATCTATCTAAATATGAATAATTCAAAACAAAACAAGAAAGGTGAGTGCTTTGTCCAAAAAGTTCCCATCAAAGAATACGAAAAATTGCGGCGGACTACTATACAATAGAGAAACACCAATTCATCTACCCGTGCTAGTAATACATTATAATTACTGTGTATTTGTTTATATACATTTATCACTCAAAACTAGAATCTCTAAACAAAATCCTACATCAACTATTCACCAAGTAACACTCCAGTGGAAACAAAATAAATAAATAACATTCCAGCAGACAGAAACATTATTAAACCATGTGTGACAAATTAAATTATCAAAAATTCAGAATGCAGAAACAGTGAGACTAAACTATAAAAGCTCATTTATATGTACGATCTGACCTCTTTGTCTTTTTAATGCAGACAAGTAGAGCTAAAGCAGTTACTTCTCAGTTGTAGCAACATGATGATACGCACCAAATTTGTTTCCAGGCCACTGACTCTGCTGCCCCATATAATACTGATGGTGAAAACCATTCGAAGGTGCACCATTTGGGTTTCCCGCAGGAACTCCTATATGCCCATTGTGGCCAAACATTGGCATGGGCACCATTTGGTGCGGGTATGGGAACGGAATTGGCATCGCCATGTGACCATTGCTGTTATGATGGCTATTCCCGTGACCGCTCTCACTAGACTCGTTCAAACTCTGTGGCACAGGTGTGGAAGCAAACAAATGATCAGATGGCGAAGGCCCCTCGTTTGGCAACCCCTGCATCCTCTTCAAATACAACCTGTACTTCTGCAAATGACTGGCGACGTTCTCCCGTGTGAGTCCCTCTACGTTCATGAGCTGCATAATCGTCTTCGGCACAGCCTTACTAATACCGAGATGTCCAACCACGTCCAGAAACCGCTTGTGCAATTGCGGCGTCCAAACGAGCCTCGCCCGCTTCAGAGTCTTGGCAGACGAGTCCTCCCCGAAGTTTTCATTTCGCAAAGCCGAGTCAGCCTCCTCCGCCCCACCTCCGGACTCAATCCGCCGGGTCTTCCTCGAATCGGATCCTTCCCTCGTCAGATCCGTATCGTCATCCGTAACCATCTGCTCCCTGTTCCCCTCCTCGTCAAACGCCTTAAAATTAAAATCATTCGTAGACATCATCGTCTGCGGCTGCCCTCCCTGTAGCGACGAAAACGTCACCTTCGACGCGCGACTCACATCGACCATAGTCCGAAACGGCGCCGGAGAAATCCGAAACGCGGAAGCCAGCTCCGGAGGGATCAACGACTGACACAACGGAGTTAGATCATCGGCGTTGGGAAGACCGTCCTCCCACTCCATCACCCTATCCTCATCCCCACCGGCGGCGCTGACACCGTCGTAGTCACCGAGTTCCACTTCTTCACCCATGGCAGCTGAAGCTCGCAAAGCTCAACTCTCCTCCGGCCACTATACCGACAATTTTTCCTTTCAAAACTTCAATATCCGATCACACAGCTGAATCTTCATCCGCGATTTGAGCTATGGATTGAGATAAAAGGGTGAGAAATCCGATTATGGATTATGAATAGAGGAACGGGGAAGATATTTGAGAGGAGAGAGAATCGCAAATTGGGAACGGAGATGGGGAAGAGATTAATTGTTGAAAATTGAGGGGACGGCGGTGGGAATATAAATAAGTTAGGGAAAAGCGTGAAAAGTGCATTATCCGGTTGCCAGCATGGACGCTTCAGTCCTAGATATTTTTTGATTTTGTAAAATCCGTGAACACGTTATTGTGGACCCTCCACCCAACATGTCATGTAATAATTGGTGGAATCCAAGAACGATAGATTTTAATTTTTTCTACTCCATTACTCAATCCAAGTTTTTTTTTTTTTTGGTGAATTAAGACCCGTAAAACCGGGAGGAGAAGAGCTCCACTACCAGACCCTTACAGCACTTGCACCAAAAGCATCGGCCGAGAGGAGCTGGATGAGACTTGTTGGGGGATCATCTAGCCAAGAAGTACCCCAGTTCGCGGATTGGCCTAGATTTGCTAGGTGGTCCGCACACCGATTGCCCTCACGAAGCGTGTGTTGAAAAACCATGTTGTCCATGTGATCCATCAGGGATCTGCAATCTTTTAGGAGAGATGAAGCACAATCTTCTAACGAGATGTCTTTTGTAATCGCCGCCACTACTGAGTTGGAGTCTAACTCGAAGACCACCCTTCTATAGCCCATAGTCTTTGCCAGCCGTAGACCCTCTCTTAGGCCCCATAGCTCTGCGACAAAACAATTTGTAAAACCAATATTTGTGACGAAACCAGCAAGCCAACTGCCTTTATGATCGCGAGCGAGCCCCCCAGCGCTTGCAAGTCTTGTGTTTTTCTTGCAGGCCCCATCAGTATTGATTTTTACCCAGCCTTCATCAGGTGGCGACCAGCTGATCCAGCGCAGGTTTCCCACTTTGACGTATGTTTTCCTGAAGAACGCCTCTACTGTTTCTTTTGTTATGGATTCCGCGCGCTTCACTATCTCTCTTGGAGAAGTGTCTTTGGCGTCGAAAATGTTTCTGTTGCGGGCTTTCCAGATCTCCCAGCAAGTGTATGCAAACGTGATTCCCCACGGACGACCATCAATCCAAACCTTAGAGCGGCAGTTGACTTGTAACCAAGCGTTTGGTAGCATCACGGGGTCGTACTGGAAACCCACCGGGTGATATGTTGACTTCTAGCAGTTTTTTGCGAATCTGCACCCACTTAGAACATGGGCAATGGTTTCGTCGCCATCTCCACATAAGCTGCATGTCGGGTCATCTGTTAGCCTCCGTCTCCAACGTTCCATGTTCGTCATCAGCAGCCACAGGAACATGCGGCATCTTTCCACGACTCTAAGCTTCCAGACCCAACTGATGTCAGTGTCTTCCTCCTCCGAACCTGCAATATAATGGAAAGCACAACGCACAGAAAAGGTACCAGTAGGGGAATTAGGCCAGAAGAGGGCGTCTTTCACCTGATCCGAGCTAGCGATAGGCACTGCACGAACAAGGTCAACCGCTTGATGCGGGAGCACCTGACATAGTCTGTTGAGGTCCCACGTTCTGGAGGGGAGAATGAAATCGCTCACTTTGGGCTCTTGGGGGGAGTCCTGGATTTCCACATTTTCCATTAGAGCTAGCGGTTTCTCCCCAACCCACCAGTCCGACCAGAAGCTTAAGGAGGAGCCATCTCCTACTCTCCACGCAGCCCCGAGTTCTACCAGAGATCTGCCACGCAGGACGCTTCGCCACCCCCATGATGCATTATTCTGCCGAGGTAGCGTGAAGAAATTTTTATCTTTGATATATTTTTCCTTCATTACACGAGTCCAGAGTTTATCGTTATTTGTGTTGATTTTCCAGGCAAGTTTCGCCAAGAGGGCATCATTAAAGTCCGCGCACCGCCTAAGACCCAGACCCCCGCTTTCTTTTGGTTTGCAAATTTCGTTCCAATTTACCATGTGCATCTTCTTTTTATCATCAGTATCTCCCCACAAAAACCCTCTGCAGATCTTGTCTATCTCTTTGCTAGTACGTGCTGGGAGCTTGAACACCTGCATGGTATAAACAGGCATGGTAGCGAGCGTGGATTGGACGAGCGTCCGGCGCCCTGCAAGACTGAGCGTGTTTGCCTTCCAGTTCGTTAGTTTACGTTTCATACCCTCCAATATGTAGTTAAAGGTCTGGCTGGTGATTCTATTATGTAGAATCGGTATACCCAAGTAGGTCCCAAGACTATCTGATACCGGAATGCCTGTCAATCTCTGGATGCCCCTTTTAATCTCCGTACTAGTGTTGGGACTGCAGAAGATGTTAGATTTAGAGATATTAATAGTCAGACCCGAGTAATCTGAGAACTTACGGATACAATCTGTCATGACTTTTCCTTGTGAATCCGATGCCTCCGCGAACAACATGAGGTCGTCTGCGAAGAAGAGATGCGAGACACCTGTTCCTCCGCGAGAGATAGAGATAGGTTTCCAAGATTTGTTTCTTACCTCCTCTTGGATAGCCCAAGAGAGTCTTTCCATAACAAGAATAAACAGATAAGGGGCGATGGGGTCGCCTTGTCTAAGGCCCCTCCCGGGCTGGAACGGGGGAAGCTTTTCACCATTCCAGAGAAGAGAGATAGAGTTGTTAGTAATAGAAAACATGATTAACTGGATAAGATTCCGGGAAAATTTAAAAGCCACCAGAGTGGATTCCAAAAAACCCCAATCGATACTATCATAGGCTTTATGGAGGTCGATCTTGACCGCCATAAGCCCTTTTTTACCCTTCTTGAGGCGCATGTGGTGGACAATCTCTTGAGTAAGGATAATGTTATCCGTCGTAGATCTCCCTGGGAGAAAGCTATTTTGATAGGGGCCAATGAGAGTCTTCATAATCGGCCTCATCCTGTTAACTATCACCTTTGAGAGGATTTTATAGCTAACGTTAAGGAGAGTGATGGGCCTAAAGTCACTAGCCGTTTCCGGGCTTTCCTTTTTTGGAATGAGGGTGATAAAGGCCTCAAGGACTTTACTGGGAAGCTTACCTTGCCCGAGAGCATCTTTCACAAAGTCCGTCATGGGTCGTTTGACCTCCTCCCAAAAAGTTTGGTAGAAGGCCGCTTGAATCCCATCTGGCCCCGGGCTACCAAACTTTTTCATATCAAACACCGCCTTTTTTACTTCCTTCATATCAATGTTCCGCCCAAGAGATCTCGTCTGGGCCACAGAAAGAGTCGGACCCCCATAAACATTCCCTTGTTGACCTCCTGTGATAACCTTCCTGCCAAAGAGATTAATAAAAAAGTTAGCAATATGCTCCGTAATTTTACTAAAATCCGAACTCCACTCCCCATCCAGCTTTAAAGCCCGAATTCTGGCCCGATTTCTTCTAATAAGCGTAGATCTGTGATAGAAAGTTGTATTCCTATCCCCATCCTTGATCCACTGTTTTCTGGATTTTTGGAACCACAATAATTCTTCCTGTTTAAGGACCTCATTGAGTTCTGCCACCAGCTTCTTTTCCAACACCTGAAGCCCTCTAGAGGAGTTATAGAAGGGGGATTCTTGAGCTCCTTTAATCCTTGCCTGAAGAGTCTTTTTCCTGACAAAGATGTTTCCGAAAGACTCTTTGTTCCAAAGTTTACTCTGAGTAGCCACTTCATCAATACCACTGACCAAGTCTATGTTGTTGTTGCACCAGACTTTTCTCCAAATGTCTTTGTAGTCATCCCGTGTAAGCCAAGCTCCTTCGAAACGAAACGGTCTCAATTCCCGGCGTGGTGGGTTCCCCGCATGTCCCACAAATTTAAGAGGATGATGATCCGAATGAGTTCTGGGAAGGATGAAGGCTTTAGCTTCCGGGAAGGCGATTTGTGCCTCCAAATTCCAAAAAACCCGATCAAGTTTCCTGCGTTGCACTGTCCTACCTCCTTCATGACGAAACCAAGAGTACTTACTCCCTATTGTCCCCATGTCCAGAAGCCCGCAAGCATTGAAATCCTCTATAAAGTTCAAGCAGCGGTTGATGTTGACTGAAGTGCTGCCCCATTGCTCATGATTACCCGTAATATCGTTGAAATCCCCCATTAAGATCCAGGGGCCTGTAAAACTTGAGCTGTAAGATTTACACTCATCCCAAAACATATCTTTCGTCATTGGGCTTGGCCTTACATAAGCAAACGAAATGCGAGTCTCGGCCAACCCCGAGCTGTTAACAATCCCATGAATCACCTGGGAAGTACTCTTCATAACCTTAAAGTTGAGGATATTTGATCTCCAGAAAAGGATTAGGCCCCCCGCGAAGCCTAACGGATCAACTGTGTAATCTCTATCAAAACCCAGGTTAGCAGCCATATTCTTGAGTCTGTTAAAATCCCTAGTCTTAGTTTCCAGGAAACAGACCGCACCAACAGCCTTGTCACTCATCAAACCTTTGGCGTGGCTAACCGTTAAACGATTGCCCACCCCTCTACAATTCCATGAGAGCCAATTCATTGAGACATCGGGCAAGCCAAGGAAGAATTATTATCGCCTTCCTTCCGCGTCACCTGAGTCAAAGTCTGGACACCATCAGATGTGTTGCCTTCTGGGAGCTCCCCAAACACAAAAATTTGGTCCTTGAACGTGTAGGTATCAGTGGACACCATACTTCCATCCTCTATGTTCGCACCTCCCGTTTTTTTAGGAGGTTTTTTTCCTCTCTGATTGGAATTTTGGAGGACCGTAACCGGACCACCAACGCGGTTGGAACTCTGTGCGCCTCTTCTTCGTCTCGGTGTGTCCTCGACAACAATTGGCGCATCAACTAGTCCACCTAAGCCCTGCAGTAAGTCAAAAGAATTATGAGTGTCAAGAGAAACAGCCTCTGGTGGCTTACCTACGATCCCCGTCGTATGCTGCCGGGTTTTTGACGATCTGGCTATGGCATTGGTATCTGCCACAGCTTTTTGTTTCTTCTTCAAGTTACCCGGGGGAGTGTTCTCCACCAAGACTTGTTTCCCTTTATCAACTTTTGTACCCCCCTGCTTATGAGGAGTTTTTCCTTTTTTTTTCCACCCCCTTCTGCTTGGTGTTCTTCCGGGTGACTACCATCCACGATCCATGCAGTTTGGTTGGGATCTCCTCCTGCCTTTTATCTACGTTCATAGATTCTTGGCCATCAGTTGCATTGTCCCCCGTAGCTTTCTCCTCATCACAAGTTTTGTTTTTTGGGCAGGCTGAGGTACGATGCCCCACCTCTCCACAATCAAAACAGATGATATGGAGACCTTCATACTCTACTTTCTGGATTTCCTCGTGAACCTGAACTAAAGCCACCAGGGGCTTTGAGATGTCGACTTCCACCGCCGCTCTGGCGAAGTTCCCCCGCTCCACTCCTGCCGTTGTATTATCAATCTTCAACGGTGTGCCTACTTGTTGCAAAACCAATTTGATCACATCCTCTCTAAATAGTTCCACCGGAAATTCCGGTAATCTCACCCAAACAGCCATTTTCTCAACCTTTTCACGAGAGGGATTGAAGTTTGGTTTCCATCTGCGAGCCACCACGTAGTTGTTGAAAAGTTTCCATGGTCCATCAACCAGGACATGCATACAGTCTGTTTGAAGTTGGAAACGAAGAACATACCACCCCTTACCGATGTCTATGAATTCCGCTCTTCCCTGGAGATTCCAGATCCGAGTCATGCGTTGTTGGAATAACGAGAAACCGACTGGTTTCCCTAGATGCTTAACAATAAGCGCATTTTTCCAAGGCTTTATGAGTTCTTCTCTCAGTGCTTTTGGGAGACGAACCACTGGGACACCTTCCATCTTGGCGGCCGGGTAATCGTCCTTGTCCGGCTCGATCGTGAAGTCATCGTCGAACCAGTTGATCTCTTCATTGCATACCTGGAAATCAGTTCCCAGATTTGTGCGCTCCCCTAAGGTTTCTGCGAAAGAGCGTTTGGTTTGTTTGAATCTCTTAATCACCGAAGGCCCACCATCCGGCCCTCGTGCTCCTCCCCCGTCCGTTGGTGGCAGCGCCACCTCGGCCTCCATGGCCACGCTCTCGGAGAGCGAGGGAAAAGTTTCCAAATATAGCGCCAATAACCCTAGAGCCGTTGAGAGCGTTCAAAAGCTAGAAAAAAGTTGTTACTCAATCCAAGTTGATTTACTTATTAACTTCTTTAGAAATAAGGGTCAAATAGGTTACTGAATTGCACGTCAAAGTGCAATTAGGCCATCGAACTCAAAAATAATATAATTGGGCCCTGAACCACATAAAATTATACAATTAGGTCTAAAATGACATGTTTACCTGAAATGTAGGTTACCAATTTTAAAAACAATTTGTAAATATATTTTAAAATAAAATAATTAATTAAAATTATATAATTTATAAAATAAAAAAAAAAAAAAAAAAAAAAAAAAAAAACTAAACTAAACTAAACTAAACTGCCGGAGACGAATCGTCTTCGTCTCCGGCCATGGAGAGGAGACGAAGAGACCTTCGTCTCCATGGCTAGGGAGACGAACCTTCGTCTCCGGCAATTCTAGTTTTTTTTTTTTTTAATTTTAATTAATTATTTTATTTAAAATTATATTTAAAATTTATTTTTGAAATTGGTAACCGCCACGTCAGCACGATTTAAGGTCAACAGGTCATTTTAGACCTAATTGCATGATTTTGTGTAGTTTAGGGACTCAATTGCATTGTTTTTGAGTTCGATGGCCTAATTAGAATTTGATGTGCAGTTCAGTGGCCTATTTGACCTTTATTCCACTTTCTTAATTTAAGCCGATTATTATTGTTTGATTTATCTCTTTTTAATCTTTTATCTAATATATATAGGGTCACCATGTTTGATTAGAGTTACAATACGAGAGATAGATCTGATTAGAGTTACAATACAAGAGATAGATCGGTGACAATCGTAACCAATTTGATTGAATGGTTAAGCAAACAATCAGATAAAGGAGTTAGTTGATTAACCAGCCAGGTACACATTTTGAGATTGCAAAGTGTCAGCAGATATTTATGAGATTTGTTCCCTCTTTTAAGCCGCTTTCCTTTTGTATTTTAGGAATGAGATTTCGTATTTTAAGAAGGTAGATCAGGTTTGATTTGGAAGGAAACTAAAGAGAGATTTTCGGCTAATTTGTAAGTGATTTTACTTTCTTTTTAGGGCCAAGCGCCTGTGTATAAGTACTCATGGAGGGGCACATTGTAAAGGGTTTGGACATGACACTTCAGCAATAAAAAAAAATACCAATTCTTCGTTCTTTGCATATTATCCAAAATTTGCAATTGTGTTGGTTTGTCGACTGACTACTTAGTAATCATAAAACTAACGAGTTTCACTAAAAACACACATTTAAGTTATGATTGTGAGCTTTTTCATAAGTCAAATAGAATTAAAAAATAAACTTAGAATTTAACGAGAAACCAGAAATAGTATACAATTTAGCTTATGAATGTGAGATCGCGAGAGTATTATTACCAGAGGATAGAAAACATTGTATGTCTAGGTTATTAGAAATGAGACATAACTTGTGATAAAACTTTGTTTAGTTCATACCCAGTAAACTAACCTTTAAGAGTCGTTTAGTTCATGGAATGTAAATTATATTAAGGAATGTGAGACTGCTGAGAATGTTAAATTATTGAAAATGTTAGATTTTTATGTTTGGTTAAAATTGAGATATGTAATAATGTAATATAAACTTATTTGGTTGAGGCCTGAGGGTTATCTTTTATGTATAGTGTTTATTTAAATTTAATATCATCACCATATTTTCATGTATTTCAATAAACTTCAAAATTAAGGTTATAAATATTAAAGATAAAGCTGAATGACATTGTTAAGAGATAAAACAATGGTTAAATGGAAAAATGAATAAAAAAAATGTAAGGAAATCCGATTACTTAAGAGATTGAAGGTTATGACATCCCCTTCAAACTTGATAAAAATATGATTGGAGGTGAAGTTATGAAAAAATTGTGGATCTTGAATGCAAGCGATTACTTAAAGGTTCATACTTAATTTAAGCCAAATTATTAATCTGGATTAGCTACTGCATCTAAGTAGAAAGATTAATAAATAAAAAGCGGAATAAAGATAAGAACCAGACCACAAGAATTGATCATGCAGTTCGGAGCAATTATTCTACGTCTGCGGGGCTACTCAACGTATGCCCAATCCACTAAATGATCACCAAAGATTACAAGGGTTGAAGCAACATGTACATACACACTATGGCCCTAATTCTTCACATCCACTCAATCTTCATCATCTCCCTTGAATTGGTACGTTGCAAGCCAATAAGCCTTCAACCTTCACTTCACCAAAGACAACTCGTGTAGAACAATTCACCAACTTCAAGATGATAGGTAAGATGAATAACAGGACTAATTTTCTTTCTAGTTAATTGAAATTGCACCGTGAATCTTGAATTCAATTATACCTTTAATGTTCTACTTGTTTTAGAAGAGATATTACATTATCAATTAATTAGGTTATTTAATGAACATAAATAACGAAATATAAATGCATAAAAATAAAACAAGTACTCAGAGATTGATCACGCAGTTCGGAGCGCTTCTCCTACGTCTGCGGGGCAACCCACGTCTGCCCAATCCACTATAGATGTTCACCAAGGAGTATTACAAGAGGTAAGTACAAATGGCCCTCAGCCTTTACCACTACAACACATTCCTAACATCTACTTAGGATTGTACGTGCATGCCGTGACGATCTTCAACCGAAGCTTCAGCTGTACCAAGTACTGACTGTGCAGCTCAGACAGAAATCCTCAAGAAATAATATAATAATAATAGAGATTAATACAATAGCTTTCTAGAATGTCTTTCACTCAAAATATCAATACTCAATTCAGCTTAATAAAATTGTAATAAATATAATTTGGCTTCTCTTAATTTAGCAAGTGAAAATCCGTGTCTTCAACATGTTAAAGCCTTCCTTTTATATTGTTTTCCACTCCAACAAACTCCTCCAAATATGCAGCCGTCCACTCACTTTGCAACAAGTCATCACCACAATAATTCTTTTAATCTTCATAGCATAAGTCACCACCACAAATAATTCCTTAGGAATAGCTTTTAACCCATCTGACATGTTGACATCCTCTTCCATAATATATGTACGGACATAACCCATGTTTTCCAAAAAGATTCATCATATGATAGGAAATGGTCCAAGAGCTTTAGCCTAACTTAAATCTATTAAAGTAAAATAAAATAAATTAGCCAACATAGGTTTAAATGTGTACTAACTTTATACACTTACATTATTGTACTGGAGTTGTCCAAAAAGGAAACCCAAATGCTTTACTTTATATAGCCACTTTAACTTAACAACTTTGACTAGAAATTAGCTACCAATAATTCAAGAATAAACCAGCACCATCTACTTCAAATCTAACCTAAAAACTTGTTCAACATATATAGCTTAAATTTGTTAGATAAAATTGCTTTAAATTCTGACCAAGCGCTGACTATGTTCCAGAGAATAATCCAGAGTCGATGACTCTGTTCCAGAAGACTGCTGAAACTAATTCAGAGTCGTTGATTATATTCCACAAGACTGCATATGGTCCAACCAAGACTAAGAAAAATAATAATTATAACTAATCCAGAGTCGCTGACTCTATTCCAGAAGACTGCACATGGTCTAACCAAGACTAAGAAAAATAATAATTATATTCTAAGATTTGTCAAATAATATAGCCAACATAATTAGGGTATAAATGTATATCATTTGTACACTTACAATATCCCCTTTTGACAATTATTTGACAAAACTACTTACAAACATACTTTAGGCATTAAAAGAATAAATAAACATTTTTATTAAAACAATGTCTTAAGTAAGTTTGTTGACATAAACAATAATAAACAATCAATACACATAAAACCAATGGATAATATGACATTCAATACCATTTGTGAGATAGACCATTGAATTTGTACGGTTTGTGCAATTAGACCATCAAACAAAAGTTTTTTTTTTTTTTTGAAAATAAAGAAGCTAATTCATTTAATCATAAGGTGAAACAATTACAAATACGATCGATGGAATGGTACAACACTCCTTACAGACAGACATAGAAACAACTTCCCTAACAATGCTACAGAGAACTTGATTCGCAAACTGTTTCACAAATTTGAAGCAGAATTCGTTGGATGAACTTAATGCTTCTTTAGTATCATTAATGAATTGATCAAACGTAGTAAAAACTGATTTTAGTTGAAAAGTCTTGCACACCACCCGAGTATCTATTTTCATTCTTCCGTTGACAATAAATCCATCGAGCTAAACTACATATGCTCTTTTTCATTGTCATCTTTGTCACCCGAGATGAAGCTCACATACGCCATGGCCAATTTTTATGTTCACACTTATCAAAAAAGAAACTCGCCAAAAGAAACGAGGGGAAAACAAACTCGTTACACAAACGAGAGAAAATACACCGAAAATCACAAACAAAATCGAACACAAAAGAAGAGGGAAATAACAGTACATCACCTCTTGAACTTTATTTTATGGATCCACTAAAAAGTAAAAACCAAACCACCTCTTTACATTTAGATCTGGATCTGGCGGGTTGATGGCGAAGGCGGAGTAGGAACCGAGAAAGTAGACGAAGAAAGTGAATGATGTTTGAGGTGGAGATGGCGGCAAGGAAAGATGATGATCGGACGGTGCCTGCGGAGTAAGCGGATATATGCCGCCTCCGCGAAGCAAACGGAGGCGGTGGCCGTGTGGATGGATGGCAGCCCGAAACCAGAAACGGGAGAGAAAACTTATAGCGTAGCAATCATTTTAGGGAATGAGTTTTCTAATTCCATCAAACAAAAAAGTTACGCAATTAAATTACTTAATATTAAAAATGTGTTCAATTAACATTATTTATAGGTAAGTAACAAGTTTCCAGTAAACTTTTGATATAGCATGACACATAAAAAAAATACTCCGTATTTTTTTTCTTTAATTATTTAACAAATATAATATAATATAATATTAATTTTTATAAATTAA